GGGGCTCTGCCCCCCCCCCTCAGAACTCGCGAACGGTATGTCGTAGGATCACCAAATTTTCAGAGGATGGTGTACTAGTAAAAATTTATCATATGTACAATTTTTATGTCGTTGTGACGTAATATGACGTCATTATGACGTCATTAATGTGATTTTATTGGCCAAAACCGTCTAGATAGGTTTTTCCCTGAAAACTAAACAGTATACGACATAACTTTACCAAAAGTGTTTATGACAGAATATTCGGATGTACTAAGTCTTATGTTGCCCATAGCAACACCGGTGACGTCATAAAATGACGTCATGCATATATTACCTATCCGCCATCTTGGATCATCAATCTTGAATTTTGAAAAATAGTTTTTTTTCAGGATAAAGCTTAAAATACATTGTAAACAGACCAAAGACCTTCATTTTAACCTTTTTTAGAAAAAGAAATGGGAGTATTGATGAAATTTTAAGGAAAATAAGCTGTATTTACCTGATATAATGATATGGTCCGCCATCTTGGATTTTGGCCAATGACGTCATCAAATTAGCATTAATTATGTATTTTTAATGATAAAATTTACATATAATTATATGTGATGTTATTAATATTAGAAACAATGTGTAACTTGACATAAAACCCATAAAAGTCTGTTGTTTAAATGGAAATTATTAAATTTGGCAAAAAATGCCTGTCAGAAACCCGTTGCCATGGCAACAAGAAAAATCATAATCTTATTCCAATGATACAGATTTGTTGCCAACAATATTTTAGGAAAAGTCACCAAGTTTGGCGGTTCTAGCTCTAGCCGTTCAGACGCTATGTGACATCAAAGTTGCCGCGGGCACTTTTAGCCCCCCCCCGGTCTAGATAGGGTTAAGATAGATATCTTGCAATTAATGGGATTTTAAGTGGTACAAATCATGGACAATTTTTGACCGCATTAGGAAAAGAGCATGCCTGGCAGATATCTAGAAAGACTATTACTTACTTACTTAGGCCTATGAAAGAAAGACTATGGAAAACAAAAAGAAAAAAAAAATACCCGAACCTATGGGTAGTGACCCAGCAGATCCTGCATGGACCAGATACTTACCTTGCGCAACATCATCGAACAGAGTATTGAATTCCAGAAGCCTGTATGGATAAATTTTATCGATTTTAAGAAAGCATTCGATAGTGTACATAGAGACTCGATCTGGAAAATACTTAAGGTGTATGGTGTTCCTGGAAAATTCATACAAGCCTTTAAAAGCCTGTACGAGGGATCCACCTGTTGTGTAAAGGTAGACGCAGGGCAGGGTACACCGACAGCTTTGACATCGTCACCGGAGTGCGACAAGGATGCGTCTTATCTCCCCTACTGTTCACTGTCACCATAGACTTTGTAATGCGCAGGGCAATGGGTAGAAGTGACTTTGGTATACCCTGGGAGGGAGACAGACGCCTCACGGATCTAGACTTCGCCGATGACATTGCTTTGACAGCAGAGTCTCAGACAACTCTTCAGGACATGACAACATCAGCAGAAACAGAAGCGGGGAAAGTGGGTCTAAGGATCAGCTGCCAGAAGACCAAAGTTATGCAGGTGGGAGACCAACAAACGAACACAAACCTGCACATCAGTGGAGAGCCTGTTGAAAACGTAAGGCAGTTCACATACCTCGGAAGCACCATGACAGCAGAAGGGGATACAGACACAGACATCAGTGCTCGCATAGGTAAGGCAGCATCAGTCTTCAGAAGGATGAACCCAGTGTGGAACAGTGGGAAGATATCCAGAGTGCTGAAAACCAAGCTGCTACAGTCAGTAGTAATACCAACTGCACTCTATGCATGTGAAACATGGAAGATAACAACAAGAATGCGGAACAAGCTGGATGCCTTCCAACAACGATGCCTCCGTAAAATTCTACACATAACATACAGAGACAGGATCACCAACGAGGAGGTATACCACAGAACTGGTACAAAACCACTCAGCACCACCATCACCGAGAGGAGAATGAGGTATGCTGGACATGTCCTCAGGATGACCTCAGACCGACACGCCAAAACATCTGTGTTCTGGAAACCAGAGGGAAAACGGAAAAGAGGGAGGCCTAAACTAACATGGCGACGTGCCCTTCAAAAAGATCTGGAAAGCAAGGGGATAACATTGAAGGATGCCGAGTCCCTCGCCGAAGACAGAACTGAGTGGAGAAGACTTGCTGCCCAATGTGCCTTGCACGGGAGGAACTAAGAACTAAGAATGGGTAGTGACACTACGAAGATACCACTAAACTCAAGTTTATCTGCTGATCCCATAGACAGGGCCAAACAACTAAACGGGTCGTATTTTCATTGTAGTGCGTTTAAGAGAATAATATTGACCCTTCCATGGACTCCAGTTGACGCCATCAGCATAGCTACTGTGAGAACCCAGATGGTACAGGCCGTTTAGATTGGAGTAGTGACAACCCACCATACCACCAACCTCCTTTATAAATCTGGGAGCAGTGTCCAGGATACGAATCGTTGTCGCTGTCCTTGGTACTGAACTTCTGTCCACTGTGAGGGTAAGTCATGCCATCTCCTGTATACGGCAAAGATCACTCTTTAATCACCACTGCAAAATATAGATTCCTTGGCAGACTTCTTTGGCGGCGGTGTTAATTTTGGGAGACAAGGGTGGCGTACACCCCCTCCGCGGCAAGACTTCCTCTGTCGCAGCCCTTAAAACTCGCGTAACTTGTTTGTTTTATTGTTGATTTGTATATTACGTTATACGTTGTCTTGTATTAATTTATAGGTTGCATATTGAGTTATAAAGTTGTTTTCCTTTGTTCTTATTATTAATGGTTAGGTTGTTATATTTATGTCTTACATTGGTTTTAAGATTTACAAGTTATGTTCAGAATGTTCAGTTGTTGATTTCCTTATAGAAGAACTTTATTGCACGACAATTGTACAGGGTACATTGTATGGCAAATACTAGTGGGTAACAAAATAAGTAGCATAGTAAAATATATAGGTATAGAATAAAACTTAACAACTTATATATAGAAAAGAAATAATCAAAAGTTAGCTTAGGCTTTACAATCAGGCGGAGTTATCTATGGGTACATGTGACAGCAAATCAGTATTCTTTCTAATAACAAAACAGTCTTTTATGTATTTACCTATTTTTGCATTGTGTTCGCTGTTGCATTTAAATATATAATCAAATCTATCTGTAGCAACACTCACTCACTCAAGTCCGCATGCTCCTAGAAGCGTAGCGCCCCGGCAAACTGTCCACCAAGCACTTCTGTTCTGCGCCGCTGCCCAGGCTGTAGTTAGGTTGTAGCCCGCTGCTCTCAGGTCTGATGACAGGACATCCAGCCACTTCTGTCTGGGCCTGCCCCTGGGTCGGGTCCAGTTAGTAGGTGTGGGTTCCAGCAGTAGTCTGGCTGGTTCTGAGGGCGGAGATGATCTGGCGAGGTGGCCGAAGAGTCGGAGGCGGGCAGCTCGAATCTTCTGGGAGACTGGAGGCTGGTTTGTTGACCGGCGTAGGGCGATGTTGGTCACACGGTCATACCACCTAATCCCCAGAATCCTGCGCAAACATTTGGCATCGAAAGCATCTAAGTGCCGCTCCTGTGTGGACGTCAGAGTCCATGCTTCAGCACCATACAACAGGATGGAGAGGACTAGGCTGTTGTAGAGCCTGAGCTTGGTATGCACTGACAGCCGTCTGTCGGACCAGATCTTACTGAGGTTGGCCATCGCTGTGGCGGCCCGGGCAACACGGATCCTGATATCAGCCGAGCTTTAGCAGTCGGAGGTGATCGTGCTACCGAGGTAGTTGAACTTGTTGACAACCTCCACCTCATGGGAATCGATCACTGGGGGAGCAGGAGGCGGTTGGAAGTCGCTCAAGCTTTGGACCTTAGTCTTTCCCCAGCTAATCATCAGTCCGAGGGGTTGTGTCTCCAAGTTCATGGCTTCCAGGGCATGCTTGAGCACCTGTACTACTTCGGCAAGAATGGCTACATCATCCGCATAGTCCAGGTCGGAGATGGTGACGTTGCCAAAGCTTGCACCACAGCTGCTCTGGGATACTGTCTTTGCCATGACATGGTCAATGGCGGTGTTAAAGATGGTGGGAGCCAAGACGCACCCTTGTCTAACGCCACTGTTGATGGTAAAGGGATCCGAGGTCTGTCCGTTGACACGGACACATGACGTAGTGTCTGAGTACAAGAGGGACAGAAGGTCCAGGAGTTTGGAGGGCACACCGAGGATCCTGAGGACTTTCCACAGGCATTGTCTGTCAACAGAATCAAACGCTTGTTTCAAATCGACGTAGGCAGCGTACAACGGCTTCCTGTATTCCCTCCTCATCTCAGCTAAGAGCCTGAGAGAAAGGACTCTATCCACCGTGGAGCGCCCGGGTGTAAACCCACTCTGCTCCGGACGTTGCTTGAGGAGGAGAAGGGGACGAAGCCTTGCAAGAATAACATGGGCAAAGACTTTCCCTGGAACACTAAGTAGTTTGATGCCCCTATAGTTGTTGCAGATGTCCTTTGGGCCCTTCTTCCAAAAGGGGAGAATGACTCCATGACGCCAGTCTGAAGGAATGGTGTCAGATTTCCAAATGGCGGTGATGAGCCTATGTAACCACTGTGCCACTGCTGGGCCGCCTTTCAGTAGCAGTTCTGGAGGGATGCCGTCGCCACCGGCAGCACGTCCTGACTTGAGCTTGTCTACCGCTTTCTGCACTTCATCCACAGTGGGTGGATCAGCTGAGATGGTAGAGTCCTCAGTGGCCAGGTTGGCTAGGGCCTCCAGCTGCGGGGACGGGGGTGGCGGCGGGCGGTTCAGTAAGCTACTGAAATGTTCCTTCCAGCGGTTCAGCTGTTGCTCCTGCGATTCCAGGTCTGACCCGTCAAGGGCCTTTACGCTTGATGATGGAGGAGTTCTTTTCCCAATGAGGGTCCGCAATGTCCTGTACAAAGAACCATGGTTACCTGTACGAGCGGCAGTCTCTGCTTGGTCGGCGAGGTCATCGACCACCGCTGCCTGTCCTCACGGAGAAGTTTGTTGCGTCTAGAGTTCAGACGTCTATATTCTTCTCTGTGACCTCTTAGTCTGGCTCTTCGACGAGCCTCCACCACGCTCAGCGTTTCTTCGGACAGGAAGTGTTTCTTCTTTTTGGACCTACGGTATCCGAGAGTCCTTGAAGCGGCTTTCGTGATACTTTGTTTGAAGTCCTTCCAGATTTTCTGTGGGTCATCCACTTCATCTGTGGCCGACAGAACAGAGAATCGGTTTTTCAACTGAAGTTGGAAACGGCACCTAGTAGATTCTGTCTGTAGACCATTTAGGTCGAATTTGCGCTGGTTAGTCGACGCAGGGTTCTTTTGTAGACAGAGACAGACAGTCATGGCAAGAAGCCTGTGATCCGTGTTCCCAAACTCCGCAGTACGGTATACACGGCAGTTGGAGGAGGTATGCCACCGCCGACTGGTAAGGATGTGGTCGACTTCTTTAGTGGTACGGCCATCATTGCTGATCCACGTCCTGCAATGAATAGCCTTATGTTGGAAAAAAGAGCGCTCAGTACGAAGATGAAAGCTGGTGCAGAACTCTAGAAGACGTCTACCATTGTCATTGCAGTTGCCTATGCCATGGGGGCCAAGACAGTTTTCAAAGCCAGACCTATGGGAGCCTGTAGTAGCATTGAGATCACCAAGAATCCAAGTGACATCATGTCGAGAGATACCTGCGGTCAACGTTGAGAGGTTAGTGTAGAATTCGTCCTTGTCATCTTCGGAGGCAACATCAGTGGGGGCGTAGGCCACTATGATGGAGATTCTACCATGCTGGTGTCGCAGGCGGGCTAAAAGTAGCCTGTTGCTTACAGGTTTCCAGAAGACGAGAGAGCGATGAGCAGAAGGGGCCAGGGCGAGAGCTACACCTTGGCGATGCAAGCCATCGTCCCTTCCTGACCACAAGTAGGTGAATCCGTTGGCTGAACAGGTACCGGAACCCGGCCAGCGCACCTCGGTCAGCCCTGCTATTGTAATGTTTAGACGAGACAGTTCGTTTGCCACTAGATCCGCCGAGCCAACCTCTTTCATTGAGAGAACATTCCAGGTGGCTACATGCAATGTGTCACACTTAGCTTTCAATCTTAAGTCCAATCGGTCCTGGGTCAATAATCCGGCAGAATCAGTCCTAGATAAGTTCCTTGTTTGACGGGGTTTCGTAGCAATTGGTTTTTGTGTGGCGGGTTGCTAGCCCAGCGCACAACCCTGCGGGGGTTTATATACCGCCCCGCGGGGACAGGCGGTGCAGGTGCTATTAGCCAGCAGCAGCTCCCCTGGGAACCGTCCCACCATGGTAAGACCTGCCAGGAGCGGGTGGGAGCTCTGCAGGAAAACCTGCCAGTTCCCCAACCCCGCCCCCGTGGGTTTTGCAACCCAGAGTCATTGCTGTAGCTGTTGCCCGGGGAATACCACTAGGAGGTTAGCACTCTGACTTAAACCCCAAGTCTAAACTGTAGCAACAAGTCTATTGAAATCTGTCGTATTTGAAGTGAGATATTTGAATAGATTATCACGTAGGACATCATATCTAGAGCATTCCATGATAAAATGAAATTCATCTTCGATTTTCTGTGGGCAAAATGGGCAAAATCTTTGGTCAGGGGCTACATTGTAATATCTTCCTGTTTCTATATTCTTATATATGTTGTTAGTTTAGTTGACTAATTTTGATGAATGATTTTAGATTGTGTGCAGTTGCTTTGTTTAAGTTTCTTTATTTAACTGTTAAGTTCTTTATTACATGTATGTTGTATATATGTTGTATGTGCCATTGCCCATATGAGGCAGAAAGCAAATAAAATAAAGTTTACAGATTATCACCCCCTC